ATCCAAAGTTCATCAACAACATAGGGCTGGGCCCGAGACAGGATCAACAGTTTGTTTCAAACCCAGAACCGGACATTGTTTCAGAAGTTCTGCCAAACTCAGCCACGGTCCAGCAGTTAACAAATTCTTTAAGTGCTTCGGTTGTTTGGTTTAGGGCGAAGCAAAATCCGGATAGGACAAGCTGGCATGTCTGATGCACGTCGCTCCTTCTCTGCATGACGTATCCCACCAGTTCCAGCCTACACCATCTTTCCTTCCTTGCCACCGATGTCCTCAGGTGAAGCATCCCACTGTCCATCCTGCTTCTTTCTCCCACCTTCCCAGGCCGTCATCATCCTCCCCATTCAACCACTTCCATCTGGACCAATTCTGTTCAGGAGGGACAAAACGGTCCTGTTTTGTCCCAGGTGTGGTGAAATGTAGTACAGAGGGGCTCTTTCATAAAGAGCAAAGAGACAACATAAGGGGTCCTTGGTGCTCTCTGAGCTTGTTTTCTTGCAGACGTTTCATTACCCAAACTAGGTAACATCATCAGTGCTAAAATTCTATGAAGATTCTCAGTCATCAGAGTCATGGTTGTCCCAAAGGTGCCTTTTCAAGAGGCAACTGGACTTTCTTGTTTTTCTTTGAAGACGTTTCGCTTCTCATCCAAGAAGCTTCTTCAGCTCTGACTGGATGGTGGGGAATGGAAGGATTTATACGCCTGGCAGACAGCTGGTCATTTAGCTATGCACTTTACCATTCCCAAGTATAGAAGAGTCTTTTCCCTGGCCCGTTTCAATGTCTTGCCCTCAGCACTACTCGATGGGCGATTTAAGAGGCTCCCGTTTAGTGAGCGACTATGCCCCTGTGATAGGGCCGAAGTTGAAACTGTGGAGTATGTCTTATCATACTGCCCTATGTATAACACAGGCAGAATTAAATTATTGTCTCTCCTTGGAATTGATCCCTCTGGTTCTAATGTTAGTAATTTGGTTTTATATTGTCTAGGGCAGTGGTTCTCAATCTTTTTAATGCCGTGACCCCCAACCGGTCGTAAGTCGAGGACTAAACCGGTCGTAAGTCAAGGACTAAACCGGTCGTAAGTCGAGGACTACCCAACCGGTCGTAAGTCGAGGACTTTCCCTGCCCGGGAGCGCCGCACATGCGTGGTTCCGCCCCCTGCGCCGGCCGAGGCATAGCTGGCAAGCGGCAGAGACGGAGCAGGCCGACCACCAGCTGGCCCAGCTCAAGGGAGGTAAGGCACCCGCCGGAAAAGGGAAAAAAATGGCGGACAGCCTTGCTTGGCGACCCCCGTGAAATGGTCGATCGACCCCAAATGGGGTCGCGACCCATAGGTTGAGAACCACTGGTCTAGGGGATGGCTCCTCCTATATTACTTCTCAAGTTTCTAAATTTCTTTTAAGAGCTGTAACTATTAGAGGAGAACGTTGTAATTCCCTTTAGCCAAGGCTTCTGGTGCTTAATTGTTTGTGATTATATTTTTCTTGTGTTTTCTTTTGTTGCTCTTGCATTTTGGTCTGTGACCGCAAAATAATATTAATTTAAAAAAAGCTATGCACTTTGGGATGAACGCCATTCGAATGGCGCGGGAGTATGAACAGATTTCCAGAAAACATTGCAGACTACAGGAACCATTTGCGCTTCACTTTGAGAGGCAGATAAAACAGACTCATCCCCAACAGCCTGCGCCTGTCTTCAACAGTAAAGGGACAACAGGGCAGAAAAACAACCTGCAGAAAGCATAGCTCCACAACACAGTCCTTTCAGCAGTCCCAAGAAGGCTCCACACTTATTTGCACCACTCAGGTGATCCTGAGGACACAGATAAACCTTCAAGTGGCCTCAACTTGACTCTCTAAAAGAATGCAAATGACCAGCTGTCTGCAAGGAGTATAAATCCTTCCATTTACCACCATCCAGTCAGAACTGAAGAAGCTTCTTGGATGAGAAGTGAAACGCCTTCAAAGAAAACACAAAGTCCAGTTGCCTCTTGAAAAAGCACCTTTGGGATCATCAGTGCTAGTAAGGAGTGCAGTTTGCTGTCAGCTTTATATTCTGATGGCTTGCCCTGTCAGTGTTGGTGGGGGTGGGCTTAGAAATGCTTTGTTTGGGCTGTTTGCTGTTGGCTTCTTTGGCAGTTTCTTGATTGGGGTCTTGTTTACTTGATTGTTGGTCTGATGTTAATCTTGGAGTTAATGGACTTTATTAACTCCAAGGACCTTATTAACTCCAAGGTTAACATCAACAACAACACTTATCTGCATAAGTGTTCAATCTACCCTGCAAATGGCTAGATAGGGTTGGGAAACGATGGACCTTTTATAACTTGTGGACTTCAACTCCCAGAATTCCCGAGCCACCATGGGGAACGATGGCCCTTTTATGACTTGTGGACGTCAACTCCCAGAATTCCTGAGCCAGCATGGGGAACGATGGCCCTTTTATGACTTGTGGATTTCAACTCCCAGAATTCCTAAGCCAGCTTGGGGAACAAAGGACCTTTTATGAGTTGTGGATTTCAACTCCCAGAATTCCTGAGCCAGCATGGGGAACGATGGCCCTTTTATGACTTATGGATTTCAACTCCCAGAATTCCTGAGCCAGCTTGGGGAACAAAGGACCTTTTATGAGTTGTGGACTTCAACTCCCAGAATTCCTGAGCCACCCATGCTAACTCAGGAATTCTGGGAGTTGAAGTCCACAAGTCATAAAGGGGCCATAGTCCCCCACTTCTGTGCTAGGGGCTGCTCCGTGTTAAACCTCTTCCTCCATATCATTGACTTTTGACTCTTTACTCTCTGTGAAAGAACCCCTACCCTCCTGCGACCCTGGACTACATTCCATTACATGTGCACAGATCAACAAACCTCAAACAGCTGCATTTTGATCAAGGCACAGCCCACTTAAAAAGAGCTCCTCCACGTACGAGGTGGTTTGTGCGTTGAACATTTTGTATATCCCTACAATGGATCAGAGTTAAAACCAGAGAAGTAGCATTGCAGCATGCCCCAAACTGAGCGGGAAAGAAAAATTGCCACATGGTGTTAGCAGGAAAAAGCTCCTTTCTGCAGTTTCTCAAACGGTGCAACTTCCATCATTCAGGCAGACTCTTTGTCTCGCTGCCACCACTAAAAAGGCCCTGCTGCTTAGATCCACCTATGGCCCCAATGTCTCACAGAAGCAAAGGGGTATCTGTCTGTGGTGTTAATGACCAAGGTCCCCAAACAGAAGGCAGCCTAGAAGGATGGGTGGGAGAAAAACCAGAAAGGATGGTCCATTCTGCCTGCTTGAGTCATTGGTTTTGGCAACTGCAGTCCCCAAAATGTTTTTAAAGTCAGCCTGGAGGAAGAGGATGTGAAGAACTAGATCCAGAGAGGCTAAATCAGGGACTGCCAATCTTTCAGGGTCTAGCAGTCACATTTTGGAACGGTCGCAATGCATTGGGGAGCCCTGTTGGAAAACATCAGTCCGAAAATGCGCCATAGTGGCACAGTGGTTAGAATGCAGTACTGCAGGCTACTTCTGCTGACTGCCGGATGCCTGCAGTTTGGCAGTTCGATTCTCATGGGCTCAAAGCTGATTCAGCCTTCCATCCTTCCGAGGTGGGTAAAATGAGGACCCGGATAGTTGGGGGCAATAGGCTGACTCTGTAAACTGCGTACAGAGGGCTGTAAAGCTCCGCGAAGCGGTATATAAGTCTAAGTGCTATTGCTATCACTTCCAAAGAAGGCCTGACAGGCAATTCTGGGATTAGAGTAGGCGGGAAAGATCAGACTTCAAATCTACTTTCCATCACAGAAACCCTCTAGGTGATATTGAGCTACGACGTCACACCAAAGAACTGTTCCTTGGGCACCTGCATGCCGATGCCACAAACAAGTATGTCAGGGTTGTTTATACTAGGACACAGCAACCGGTGTTCCTCCCCTCTGTGGATTCCTATGATTATAGAGCAATTTTGGGGATTAGATCAGGAGGGAAAGATATGAGTTCATCATGGAAACCTCCTGGTTGATTTGGAGCTGGCTACCTTGTGGGATTTTGCTGGGGAGATAAAATGAAGAGACATCCCAGCAGGGAGGCTCCAGGATCAAAGGCGTGATATAACCCTAATAAGAAAAACCCAGTAAATGGATTGGGAGCACCCACTAAATTCTCTTCCCCCCTCTCCCCACTCCAGCAATCTCGAATATTGTTGCATTTGCTGGAGAAAGCACACCGCATACTGATTCTGCTCGATTCTCCTGGAAGCCATATCTTCTTCTCAAACCCTGTTTCTGGAAGATTTGGTGGCGCTTATGACTCTCGGTGCAAAAATCTGGAGAGTCGAGTATTCTGGCTAGGAGGCCGAGGGAGACCTGGTGGCCAAGGATCAGAAAGGGCCGTCAATCCCTGTCTTACAGGAACCGATCAGAGAACTTCGATTAGAACGAGCTATCCTTAGATCACTAGAGCTTTAGAAGCTCAGTTTTGTAGGACCTCCCAAGGGCTCTTGATATGCTATGGATGACCATCCTAAATTCCTAGCCTATTCCTAGCAAATCTACGATAGGGGATCCTTGAATCTTCCTCTCCAACTGAAAGACCTCTGCAAAGCTCCAGGCATTTCTACAGATCCTCTCGCGTCCCAGGTCCTCATTGGGAAGTGAGATCACTGCGCGGAATGACGCTCTTTCCTTCTCACTCCAAGAATTCAAATGAAGGTCCGACGATGGCGTGAGCTGAAGATTCAAATCCAGTTCCCAGTCCCTCAAAGCAGGGCTGGCAAAAGAAGCCGTCGGAAACAATGGACAACCACAATGGGCCAACACACCAAAAAAACCCCACACACATACAGTATTCTAATATCTAATGCAAAGAAATGGAGTCCGTGTTCTACACAAATCTCTTTCCACAGTGATTTCTATCGTTTTTCTCCGAAATCCTTCCACGATCAGGGCTTCTTCTGCCCTTCCCTCAAAAAAAAAAAAAAAAAAAAAGAGTAATTTTTCATACTCCTAGCACTTAAACCCATCTTCACCAGTGTGGATTCTTTGATGTAAAGTAAGGGAATAGGCCCAACAGAAGCTCTTTCCACATTCCAGGCATTTAAATGGCTTCTCTCCGGTGTGAATTCTTTGATGGCAGCTGAGGTATTTGCTGGTACTAAAGCTCTTCCCGCACACCAGGCATTTATAAGCTTTATCCACAATGTGGATGCGCTGATGGCAAGTCAGGTACCTGTTTGTGCTGAAGTTCTTCCCGCACACTAAGCATTTGTACGGCTTCTCGCCAGTGTGGATCCTCTGATGCGAGGTAAGGCTGGTGCCTCGGCTGAAACTTTTCCCGCACTCCATGCATTTGAAGGGTTTCTCTCCCGTGTGCGTGATCTGGTGCAAGGTGAGGGAATTAGCCCAACAGAAGGTCTGTCCGCACTCTAAGCATTTGTAAGGTTTCTCCCCAGTGTGGATCCTCTGATGGGAAAGGATGTATTTGCTCGTGGTGAAGCTCTTTCCGCACTCCAGGCATTTGTACGGCTTCTCTCCCAGGTGGATACTCTGGTGGGAAATAAGGCTCGTGCGTCTTCGGAAGGTCTTCCCGCACTCCAGGCATTTGAAGGGTTCTTCCCCCGTGTGGATTCTGCGGTGCGACGTCAGGCACTGGCGCGTAATGAAACCTTTCCCACAGTCCAAACACTGAAAGGGCTCCTCCCCTCGGTGAAGGCGCTGGTGGTAGCTGAGGCTGGTGCTGTGGACGAAGCGCTTCCCGCACTCGGCGCACCTGTACGGTTTCTCCCCCGTGTGGATCCTCTGGTGGGACATGAGGTATTGGCGGGTACTGAAATTCTTCCCGCACTCCAAGCAGCTGTGCGGTTTCACGCCGGTGTGACTCCGCTGGTGGTAGGTCAGGCTCGTCCGGTGACTGAACCTCTTGCCACACTCCGGACACTTGTAGGGCTTCACGCCGGTGTGGTGCTGCCGGTGGTAAGTGAGGCTGGTGTTGTGGATGAACCGCTTCCCGCACTCTAAGCATTTGTACGGCTTCTCCCCCGTGTGGATCCTCTGATGCGAGGACAGGCTGGTGCTCCTGCTGAAGCTTTTCCCGCACACCAGGCATTTGAACGGCTTCTCCCCCGTGTGGACGATCTGGTGCAAGGTCAGGGAGTTGGCCCAGCAGAAGGTCTCCCCGCACTCCAGACACTTAAAGGGCTTCTCCCCGGTGTGGATCCTCTGGTGACAAGCCAGGTATTGCCTCGTGCTGAAGCTCTTCCCGCACTTGGCGCACTTGAAGGGCTTCTCCCCTGTGTGAACGCGCTGGTGGCAGCCCAGGTACTGCCTGGTGCTGAAGCTCTTCCCACACTCCAGGCATTTGTAGGGCTTCTTGGTGGTGTGGCTCTCCCAGTGGGTGATCAGGCTCGACTGGCAGTTGAAGGCTTTGCCGCACAGGAGGCACTGGCTCCATTCGACCCCGTCTTCTATTTTTTCACGGACCGGAAGCTCGTAGAATTCGGTGTTGTAAGAACCCGGAGATTCATCCTTCACTCTGCCGGCTTCAGTTTCTAGTCTCTGCTTGTCCTCCTCTTCGCTTCCAATTTTTCCGAACAATAGCTCATAGATTTCTCCATTTTCACTCTCTGGCCAGTCACTTCCTGGCAGGACATAGAAACGAAAAGACTTTTGGTAAATTATGAAATGAAGCCTGACATTCTGCATTCTGCAATCAATCAATCAATCAATAAATCTCCTAATCTAATCTAATCTGTCTCTCTCTCTCTTTCTCTCTCTCTCTCTATATATATATATAAATGTGTGTGTGTGTGTGTCTACATTTTAATCTAAGCTAACCTAATCATATCTATCTATCTATCTATCTATCTATCTATCTATCTATCTATCTATCTATCTATCTATCTATCTATCTATCTATTAATCTACTCTCTCTCTCCCTCTCTCTATATGTACAGTATGTGTGTGTGTGTGTATATCTGTCTACATTCTAACCTAACCTAACCTAACCTATCCTAACCTAACCTAACCATACCATACCATATCTATCTATCTATCTATCTATCTATCTATCTATCTATCTATCTATCTATCTATCTATCTATCTATCTATCTATCTATCTATCTTTCTCTCTACCTTCTAACCTCTCTCTCTCTCCTAATCTAATCTCATATATATATATATGTGTGTATGTATCTACCATCTAATCTAATCTAATCTAATCATATCCATATCTCTCTGTCTCTACAATGTAATCTAATCTAATCTAATCCAATTCTATTCCTATTTCATCCCATCTCTATTCTATTCTATTCTATTCTATTCTATTCCATTCATCTTATTTTTCTTTCTTAAACTGTATTGTTCCCTGCCCTTTTTCTTTTCTCTAAGTGGAAACTTACCCAAAGAGGAGGCAATACCACTGTTCTCTGCCATCACATCCCTGTGTAGGGCTCTTTGGTCCGGATCCAGCAGCGCCCACTCCTCCTCGGTGAAAGTCACAGAGACTTCCTCAAGCATCACCTAAAAAAGCAGCAAAGATCAGCTTCTTACACTGAAGGCAGCCCATTGCTTAGCAAAGTCCAATGGGTGGCCTTGAGGATCCAGTGGGACAGAACAGGAGGCAGCTTGGTCCTCGGAAAGGGTGCTTTAGGGATATACAGGTAGTCCTCAACTTATGACCACAATCAAGCCCAGGATTTCTGTGGCTAAGCAAGACAGTGGCTAAGTGAATTTTGCCCCATCTTGGAGGTCATCTAGTCCAACCCCCTGCTCAGGCAGGAAACCCTATACCATTTCAGACAAATGGCTGTCCAGTCCAGGTTGTTAAGTGATTCTGGCTTCCCCATGGACTTTGCTTTGTGAGAAGGTCACAAAAGGGGATCCCGTGACCCCGTGGCACTGCAACCGTCATAAATAGGAACCGGTTGCCAAGCATTCGATCACATGAGCACAGGGATGCTGCAACGGTCCTAAGTGTGAAAAACGTTTGTAAGTCACTTTTTTTCAGGACTGTCGTAACTTCAAACGGTTGAAAGTTGAGGACTACCTCTGTCTGACAGGAGAAAAGTTCTTTTGAATCCAAGGGTCAACGCTGCTAACATTGGATGTTCTTGCTTTGACAAAATATGAAGAGGCAGCCACTCTCTGTATAAGCTGTGTGGTACTTTTAGAGTTAAATTAGATGATGCTGGGAGGGGAGGAGAAAGAATGTGTGTGGGGATTAGTTAAGATAAGAAACCCACAGGCTACAGAAGGGAAGGGAAACTTTGCCCTTCAAGCTACTTAGAGAACGTGATTTATGACTGCAAATTAGAGGAGGGAATAATAATAATAATAGTAGTAGTAGTAGTAGTAGTAGTAGTAGTAGTAGTAGTAGTAGTAAAGTTGGAAGGAACCTTGGAGGTCATCTAGTCCAACCCCCTGCTCAGGCAGGAAACCCTATACCATTTCGGACAAATGACTGTCCAGTCTCTTCTTAAAAACTTCCAATGTTGGCGCATTCACCGCTTCTGGAGGCAGGTTGTTCCACTGGTTAATTGTTCTAACTGTCAGGAAGTTTCTCCTTAGTTCCAGGTTGCTTCTCTCCTTGATTAGTTTCCATCCGTTGCTTCTTGTCCTGCCTTCAGGCGCCTTGGAGAATAGCTTGACTCCCTCTTCTTTGTGGCAGCCCCTGAGATAATGGAACACTGCTATCATGTCCCCCCTCGTCCTTCTCTTCATTAAACTAGACATACCCAATTCCAGCAACCGTTCCTTATATGTTTTAGCCTCCAGTCCCCTGATCATCTTTGTTGCTCTTCTCTGCACTCTTTCTAGAGTCTCAACATCTTTTTTACATCGTGGTGACCAAAACTGGATGCAGTATTCCAAGTGTGGCCTTACCAAGGCATTGTAAAGTGGTATTAACACTTCATGTGATCTTGATTCTATCCCTGTTAATGCAGCCTAGCACTGTGTTGGCTTTTTTGGCAGCTGCAGCACACTGCTGGCTCATATTTAAGTGATTGTCCACTAGGACTCCGAGATGCTTGAATATTATGTGCTCAGGGGAGGAGAATTCAGATCTAGAGAGTTAGGGTCTGACAGAAGGCCAGCTGAAGAGACTAGAAGCATTTGAAATGTGGATTTCCAGGCGGCTGTTACGTATAAGCTGGGTTGACAAGATCAGAAATGAGGAGGTGATCAGCCGCCTGGGAAAGCCAAGGGAAATCATCAAAACAATTAAAAAACGAAAATTAGAATATTTCGGACACGTGATGCGACACCCAGAAAGATACGGCACACTCCATTTAATCCTCCAGGGAAAGATTGAAGGCAAACGAGGTCCAGGCAGAAGAAGAACATTGTGGCTTCAAAATCTAAGGGACTGGTTTGGACAAAACTCAGCAGCACTTTTTCGTGCGGCTGCTGATAAAAACAGGATCGCCAACATGATCACCAATGTCCGATGACGGATATGGCACAAGAAGAAGAAGAAGAATATTGTGCTGACACTTGGTTTCACAAATAAAGACTTTTTAGGATAAACAATGCCTGAAAGTTCTTTGAAGTGTTTCGTTAGTCGGAACTTTGACACCAACTTTGAGATGAGGCCCAAGTTATCTTTCCGAGAGATTATTCCCTTACCTGATCCAGCTGTGCAGAAGGCAGGTTACATCCAGTGGCCAGCTGTGGTTCACCCCCTGGGAGAGAGAGAGAAAAAAGATGCAAGGATGATTGACATCTGGGATGTGGAAGGCAAACTCAGGTAGACAAGTGTGGATGACAGTCCACCTACTGTTCTTCACTAACACTCTTGCCCTTCTGGGAAAGATGGGGCCAAAAATGCTTCAATCCTTTCCTTTCCTGCAATAATTGTGGGAATGGGGCTGGGTGGAGCAAGAGGGGCCTTCTGTCAAGAGTGAAAATTTGGCAGCTAGGCGCCTCTTTGTTTTCATCTTGCCATTAGAGTAAGGGTGGTGGTGGGGGAAGATGATGCTTTCCACTGGGTTAGTTAGAGAAATGAAACTTCTCCAGTTCTTTGGAAGTTTGCTGAAAGGTGGCTCACTGGAAAACTTTCAAGGACATTCTGGAGAGTGTGAAGAAGATAGCAGACGGTTCTCATGACAAAGAGAATTTGTTTACATGAGCTACATGGCCATCTGTGGGGGGGTTGGCTGAGAATGTGATTGTTATATGCTATGGTCTGATGCCTTGGGACTTTAGAGTTAGTTTTCCTTCACCTATACCAGTGGTGGCGAACCTATGGCACGCGTGCCAGAGGCGGCACTCAGAGCCCTCTCTGTGGGCACACGCGCATTCGAATGTGCAGAAATGGATAGATTGACTTTAAAAATGAAACAGAAAGAAGACATAATTTACTTTAAAACATGGGGAAATTTTTATTATTGGTTAGAAACACGCTAGAATGAGAAAAGGTTATGAAATTTAAAGAGATAATTGATAATTTGTATTTATATTCCATGATTATTTGTATGAACTTGTTCTTATTTCTTCTTCTTCTTCTTCCTTTTTGTATACTTGTGATCTTTAATAATATGGTAAACTAGAATTAATATGTAATATATTATCTTAAAGTGATTATAATTAATTAATACTAAGCATTGTTAAGTACTGAAATGAATGAGATTTATTGACTAATTTGTTATTTACATGATTATATGGAAAGTTGTTTAATAATAGAGTAATTATTAAGATTTAATATGTAAACCTGGACTGGTTAGACTTGCTGAAGCGATGTTATTTTGTGGGATTAATCCCACTTTTGTGTTACCCCTTTCCCCTGGTCTAGCCTTTTTGTATGTTTCCTGTTGTCTTATCCTTTTTGACCCCATCCCTTTATTACCGCTATAAAATTCAATAAAATATTAAAAAAAAAAAAGTGCAGGTAGACTCTTGACTTATGACCACCACTGACCCCAACATTTCTATTTCTAAGTGGGACAGCTGTTAAGTGAATCCCTGCAGTTCTTAAGTTAGTAACGCGACTGTTAAGTGTCGTAGGTCACTTTTTTCAGTGTTGTTGTAACTTTGAACGGCCTCTGGATCAGGGGTGTCAAACTCAATTTCATTGAGGGCCGCATCAGCATTGCGGCTGCCCTCGGGGGGTGGGGGGGTGTGTGTGGCCAGGGTGGGTGCGGCCTACTGGTGGGCGTGAATGGAGTGGGTGTGGTCTACTGGGTGGGTGTGGCCAGCTCTACATCATTCGCGTCAAGGGTGCCTGTGGGGGCCTGGGCAGGAGTGGGACAGATCTTAGGGTCTCTGGCAGAAAGGGGAGGGACCAGGGCAGAGCCCATCAAGCCGGATATGTGAAGTAGGCGAGGGCCATTTGCTGGCCACTTCCAGGCGATGGTGCATTTCTTCATTCCTCAAAAAGGGTGACACCTCCCCAGCATGCACCCAGGGGGTGGGGCCGGTTCCTTGCTGTTTCCAGATGGCCTTGTGGAGCTAAGACTGAATGCGTTTCAGCATAGATGGCCACCACAAAATTGTACATTGGCTCCCTCCCGGCCGGCCTGGGCCAGGGCCAAAGCAATGGGGGCCGTTCCCTCACTGTTTCCAGGATGGCTTCGTGGGCCACATGAAACCACTTCGCGGGCCGCATACGGGCCCCAGGCCTTGTGTTTGACATGTCTGCTCTAGATGAACTGTTGTTAAGTTGAGGACTACCTGTAGTGTTTTTTTTCAACCTTGGCAACTTTAAAGAGGAGCGGACACTCCTCCGTGTTTCCCAGCCAGCATTCTGGATTCATCATTCTATGCTGGCTGGGGAATTCTGGGAGTTGAAGTCCGTTCCTCTTAAAAGTCGTCAAGCTTGAAACAGGCCAATCTAAGCCAACCCGACAAAATACATTTAATTCCTTGTCATCCATGTTTTCTGTCTGGGAAAACGGCATTCCGTGATCTGCTGCATTTGCCCTTGATAGCTTTTTATGATTCCGACTGCCTTACCACAACAAGCCTTTTAGTGACAGCCCTCACAAAATGTGCCCCAAATTCCAAAGAGTTGCCTAACCCAGGTTTACGTTTGCCTTGACTCAAAACTAGAAAAGTGGTCGGTGTATTTTAGTTACACCTACCAGCAAAAGGCAACACCGAAAAATGGCCTCCAAGCACTTACCTAACGTAATGGCTACCTTGTCCACTTCTTTCTTGATCCGCCTTAAGGGGGGCTTTGGATGAGGCCCGGGTGGGTTTTTTCCTACCCTGGGAAAGTTGGCGGGTTCCGTCACAACTCGGTCCTCCAAAGGAAAAAGAAAACAATAAACCCCAAAGAGCAAAGAGAAAGACGAAAAAGAAATAGCAGGAAAAAAAAGGGGGGGGGGAGAAGTGACAGAAATTTTGGCTTAATTTTGGTTGTAAGTCAAGGACTTCCTGTACAAATTGCAATGAGCAGAAAGTGGCTGAGGGATGCTCAAGCGAACCATCTCACGGCCGTTCTCTTGATATATATGGCTTCTATATGTCTAGTTTAATGAAGAGAAGGACGAGGGGGGGACATGATAGCAGTATTCCAATATCTCAGGGGCTGCCACAAAGAAGAGGGAGTCAAGCTATTCTCCAAGGCGCCTGAAGGCAGGACAAGAAGCAACGAATGGAAACTAAGCAAGGAGAGAAGCAACCTAGAACTAAGGAGAAACTTCCTGACAGTTAGAACAATTAACCAATGGAACAACCTGCCTCCAGAAGCGGTGAATGCTCCAACACTGGAAGTTTTTAAGAAGAGATTGGACAGCCATTTGTCCAAAATAGTATAGGGTTTCCTGCCTGAGCAGGGGGTTGGACTAGATGACCTCCAAGGACCCTTCCAACTTTTTATTATTATTATTATTATTATTATTATTATTATTATTATTATTATTATTATTATTATTATTATTATTATTATTATTATTTATATATAAAATACAAAGAGAAATAGAAATGGGAAATTAGGGGAAGGAAAAAGAAAGGGGGAAAGAAAATGTGAGGTACAAGGGAAAAAAGAAAAAAAAAGGCGTTGATTTCCAACTCTTTTTGGCACAGGACAAGATAGAAACACTCCAGCCTCAACGTTTGCTTTTACACATTAGTATATAACTAGCCATTTCTATAATGACAAGTCTGTCTAATCGACAAAACCAGAGTCAAAGTTTCTTTTTTTTTTATCACAAGCACAAAATCCAGAAGTGATATCCAAATGAACATCGTAGTTAAGTATATTATCCTCTTTGAATAAAATAATCAATTTAACCATTACTTCTTTATCTTTCTTGCTGTGGTAATAATATGGATTTCTATTTGCAGCTACTAATCTTTATAAACTATCGCCATTTGTATTAACAAGGTTCTTTCAGATTCTTTGACCTTACAGGGAAAAATAATCTTTTTTTTTCATATTTTTTTAAAATGCTAAACTTATGATTTATGATGAATGTATTTTTACGATGACTATGATCATGATTTACCACTTATTGCTTTTATGTACATTGAGAGCTGATGCACTGGAGACAAATTTCTTGTGTTCAATCACACTTGGCCAATAAAGAATTCTATTCTATTCTATTCTATTCTATTCTATTCCATTCCATTAATTCTATTCTACTCTATTAATTCTATTCTACTCTACTCTTATTCTACTCTATTTGTATTCTATTCTACTCTATTTGTCTTCTATTCTATTCTATTTTCCACTATTCTATTCTACTCTAATTCTACTCTATTTGTATTCTATTCTATTCTACTCTATTTGTATTGTATTATATTGTATTCTCCATGTTCTGTTCTGTTCTACTCTACTCTACTCTTATTCTACTCTATTTTACTCTATTTGTATTCTATTCTATTCTATTCTATTCTATTTTCCATATTCTGTTCTGTTCTATTCTATTCTATTAATTCTATTATACTCTACTCTAATTCTACTCTATTTGTATTCTATTCTACTCTATTTGTATTCTATTCTATTCTATTCTATTCTACTCTATTTTCCATATTCTGTTCTGTTCTGTTCTATTCTATTCTACTCTACTCTTATTCTACTCTATTCTACTCATATTCTACTCTAATTCTACTCGACTCTACTCCACTCTATTCTATTCTTTAATCACATTTCTGAAATCAAAACTTTCTAACACATCTTCTTCTTTTAACTTAACATACATACTTCGAAGTTCAGTGTTAAATTTAAGTCCCTCCCTCCATGCTACCCTCTGAGAATAATCACGGCCCTCGTCTCACCTGCTGCCTTTTCTCCTCCGCCTGGCTTAGCAAGAAGCCTTCGGCCAAGGCCACCGCCTGGGAGCTGGTCTCCGCTTTACATTCCCGCACCCAGTTCTTCATCTCCGGGGGCAGGACGGCCAGGAATTGCTCGAGGATCACCAGGTCTAGCATCTCAGCCTTTGAGCGCTTCTCTGGCTTCAGCCAGTGGTGGCAAAGATCGTGGAGCTGGCTGCAAAGCTCTCGGGGACCCTTAGCGTCCTGATAAGCAAACTGCCGGAAGTGTTCTCGCTGCACGTCGGAACCGGGCATGTTCTTGATCAGGACTCTCTGCACCCCTGTCTCACCAGGTTCTCCACTGCTTGAACCCTGAAGAGGACAAGGGGTTTTTTGGGCCTCGGGGCAGGCCTCCGATTTCTTCTCCAGTCTGTGATCCGGCTCGGCCTGTGACGTGGCCACGTTCGGCCTGTCCTGCAAGGTCGTTTCCGATGGCATTGTTCGAATAACTTCTCTTCCCAACAAAAGATTGGCCCAACCAGCAAGGGGGGGGGGTGCCAAGTCCTGCCGAGCCCTTAAAAAGGGGCTTTGATGGACCCTTGTGACAGAGGACACTGTTAGGCAGCCCAATTGCAGCTGTTTGCCAGCTCCTCTGCCTGCAGACAAGCGAAAAACCAAGACCTGATTCACATGTTGCAGGTAAAAAAAAACAAAAACCCTGAAACCCAAGTTAGCAAAAGACGACCACTGCATTCACACGATATGATCTGCCTGAAGACAGAAATCACTATTATGGTTTACTGGGGAACTTGGATTGCGCCCCTCCTCCCCCAGACTAGCATCTTCCCCACCACAGAGCGAGAAAGGGCAATCAGAACCTTAATTTTACCTCTACAACAATCTTGAGAGGTAGCCTCGACTAAGAGAAGACCGCTTCAGACCCCCTAAAGAGCTTTGGTGGCTGAAAGAGGACCAAAACCTGCATTTCACCATTCCTAGTCTGGCCCTTTCCCCCCTTGTCCTGGCCTGGCTCTGGGGATGAAGGGAGGGGGACTATCCAAGGATAGGTACCTTTGAGAGCTATCCCCACCCGCTTCAAATGCAACTCTTGGCACATTTTCCTGCTCCACTTTTAGAGGAAAAAATATCTGTATGTACATACTTTAAGGCAGGGCTGTGGAGTCGGAGTTGGAGTCGAGGAGTCGGAGGAAATTTTGGGTACCTGGAGTCGGAGTCGGCAAACAATGCACCGACTCCGACTCCTACTAAATTTAGATTGTAATTTTAAAAAAAGCAAGTTTAAATGTCCCAATTCACAAAAAGTTATAATTAATGACTTCTCTACTGTAAGAATAAAGACCAATGCAGTGCCTCACGTAACCGCAAAACGAACACGTTAAGTGACCGTGAAGAAGCATGCTTTTCATGTGCTTCACTATATGGCACGCAACGCACAATTAGGAGTGGCAATACTTATACTTTCCATAGTGTTGTGTTCTGCTGTTACAGGGAACGCACCGCCCATGGGTAACCTAGCCTCTCACTGATAAGGGATTAAGTAAATATGTTTTTTGCAGGACTAGACACTTGTATAAGTGAAGGGAATGGAGGGTCAATAGTTCAAGACTGAAGCTGTAAACCATTGGAAAAACTGCTGTCATTCAGCTAAGACTATAAAAACTTGTAAACTCCGATTGTTAGCTTATTAATACAGAGGAGTCGGAGTCGGAGAGTCGGAAGTACAAAAAACTGAGGAGTCGGAGTCGGAACATTTATCTACTGACTCCACAGCCCTGCTTTAAGGCAGGGGTCCCCAACCTGTGGCCAATTTGGAATTGGGCTATGCAAACAGTGGGTGTATCAAGCTCAAAGAAACTTCATACTGCTTCGGCTGTTTCTGCTTCTTGGCTTGCGTACAGGCCCAAGAGGAATGGGGGAAGAATATAATGTGTATATAATGTGTATATAATGTGCAGCTGTGGAGCTGCTAAGCCTGAGAGCCAAGATCATTCAAGGTTTTGTTTTCTGAGAACTGAAGATTCTTTCTCATAATAATTGTCTGAAGCTTGATTGGGTAATGTGACCTGTGCTGTTGGGGGGGGGGGCAGCAGGCGTGTGCACACGCGAAGCTACATTTGTGCAAGTGGCATACGTGCATGCCCGCCGCTTGTGCAAATGGAGCTGCGCACACCCGCCACTCACAGGGAACCATCCCCTCTCCCCATCACCACCGCCGCTGGTTCACAAAGCCAGCAAGATTGGGAACCTCTGTTTTAAGGTACAAATGTATGCACAAAATAGGTGATAAGTAAGAAGAGTCAGTGAAAAAGGGCTGAAATGCCTTTACACCCACACACAAAGTATGAGGAACAAACAGGGTGAACGAGAAATCCACGCACATGAGGGCAGATACCATATTGTTGCCATTAGGGAAAGTTGGTTGGATGAAACCCATGAATGGAATATATAGCCAGAGGGATTTAAATTGTTTAAAAGAAACAGACCTAATATAAGAAATAACTACCTCTCGACAGAAATACAGTAGAACAATGATGAAAACTGTCTTAAATGCATTTGGGTAAATATAAAAGAAAAAAAAATGACATTGCTGTAGTGTAAAGAAAAGCACATAATAATACTAATGGGGGACTTCAACTACCCTGACATCAACTGGGAGACAAACTCTGCACCAAGTGGAAGATCAAACAGATTATTGACAAACAGATTCTGTGAGAGGGACCTCGGAGTCCTAGTGGACAATCACCTAAA